GCTGCGGATGGGGTGGCCGCCCCCGTTCGCGACCCCGACGCTGTGGAGGGTGACGGCGGAGAGGGGGGAGGGGTTTTCCGCGACCCCCCCCCAACCCGCCCCGGGGCCCCGCCGCCGCCGCCGGAGATGGACGTCGTCGAAGAGGCCGGGTCCGCCGTGTTGAGGTGGGTCGCGGCCCAGGACGAGACCGACGCGGTGGTCCCCGACGGCGACGTCGAGAAGAGGCTCATGAGGTTGAGAATGGAAAACGGGGCTGCGTCGCTCGGGGGGTGGGGGAGGAGGGGGGCGGGGGGGGGGCTGCTGTACTTGGTGCTGCTCGGAGGTCAGGAAGCGCTCGAGGTCGTTGATCGCGAGGGTGTCGTGATGCGTTCGTGGCATGGCCTCGAAGGCCTGTTTAAAGTCCGTCCACTTGCTCGGCCCATTGGGCTGGGTGAAGTGCCCTTGGTCGCGCTGCAGAAGCCGCTTCGACCGAGCCGCCGCCTGCTCCTGCAGCGTCCGGATCTGCCCCTCGAACTTGGCGATGAGTTTCTGATTGGACTCTATGATAGCGTCGAGCTCGGCAAGCGTCTCTCGGTGGCGTTTTATCTTATCGGAAATCTTCTCGGTTTCCTTTTCTTGCTTCGTCCTATCACGCAATAACTTGTTGACCTGCTGGCGAGTGTTTTGAATCGTTTGGCTCAGCCGCTCCACCTCGCGGATGAGCTCAACCGAAGGGCCAGCCTTGGATAACAGGATTTTGCGTTCCCGGTCGCTGGCCCGCTGCTCTGCGCGTTGGGCCTCACGGCGCTCTGTATTCTGAAGTTGATTAAAACTCACCAAAAAGGCCGATTCGACCTCCTGGCGCTCGCTCGTCTCGCTGCTGCATAACTGCTCAACCTGGGCTTCGAGCTTCTTCTGTCGCTCGTACGATTCCCCGTCAGCGGCGGTGGCCGATTTCGTACCGCCCCCAGGACTGCTCTGCTCATCGTCCGCGTTGGCCGAGCGCTTTGCGTTCGGGGCTGTGGCGTTTGGTCCGTCCCCCATATTATCCACCTCCAGCACCATCTGAAAGACGAGGCGATCTTCGACGTTGTAGTAGGTGCGTAGCCCGCTTGTCGAGGACGCGGAGGCGCTCAGCGCCGCCTTGAGCTGTACGAAATTCATCAGCCCAAAAAGTTCCCCCGTCTCGACCACGCCCTTCGTCTCGAGCTGCAGACCCGGTGCGGGGCCAGCGCTGCTGTCCTCCTCCGCCTCCGGGGCGTTCTCCGAGGCGTTCTCGGCCTGCTGGGAAATGGTGCTCGCGCGGGCTCCGCCGCTCACCGTCTTCCGCTTTCGCATCCGATCCGAAGAGTGAAGCAGCAGGCGGACCTGAAGAGGGGTGGAATGGCGATGCCAAACCCGAAAGCTGAGGCTTCCCCGCTCCTGGAGCAGCTCCCCGCGCCAGCGAACCTTCGCGCAGCTGAAGCGATTGCTCACGATGCGCTCGAGCGGTAGCCGCCCCATCACCCCGGCGTTGTCCACCGTGCAGGTGTAGCTCCCGGGCGTGTGTTCGTGCACTAACAACCGGGGCACGTAAACCACATGCGAAAGGGAAATCCGAGCGGTGGAAAGCCGCGAAGGGTAAAGCCGTATGCCGATTTTCTCCGCCAAAACCTCCGTGAGAAGGTGTTTATCCATCGAGGCCTCGCCGGAGGTCGCGATGCCGAGCTCATCACAGATGTTTAGCAACATGGGGTGCGGGAGAATGGAGAAGAAGAGGGCGGCACCGACGATGCTGATGGCGTTGTAGACCTCAATAGGGTCGCACACCTCCACGTCGGCGTGCTTTGCCATCTGCTGGAGATTCTCACGAGAAAGCTGACGGAGGTGGTGGACAAGGAGGCTGAGTAATGGGTTCAGTCGGATTTGAAGTTTGTTTAAATCCCGCTTAAGATGCTTGGTCAGCTCTTTAATGTCCACCTGCGGGGCGCCGTAGGTGGAGGTGACGTCGTTCCCGTGCTGATTATTCGAGTCGGCCTGCTTGGCAGTATAATAGCGGTAAAGCATATAAGCCGCGGCGAGGGTGGCCTCACCAAGCCAATACGCCACGACCATATAATGGGTCGTTTCCGTAGGGCTCGGGGTGTCGGTGAAGACATCGGTGAAGGCGTTCGTGTACTCGACGACCTCCGCCAGCGTGCACGGGCTCAACGCCGACAAACACATCGCGCGAAGGCGAAAGTCATCAAGGGCCTCGGTATCGGGATCCCCGGCGGCCTTGATAAATTTTCCGCCTCCTCGGGCAATATTGCTCAGGCGAATCGTCGTGAGGGCGTCAATAAACATGCTTTGCGGGCTGGGCATCTCCTCCGCTTCCAAGTCTTTGATGTGATCCTCGACGATGGGGTGAGGATCTTTATGGCTTTTGACCGTCGTTGGCTCCACGGTAGAGGTGGGCGTGGGGATGGGAGCGGGGGTGGGGGCGGGAGTAGGAATGGGAATGGGCGTGGGAGTGGGAGTGAGAGGGGGCACCGACGCCGATGCCACCGCGGGCCCATCCTTTTCCTTATTTTCGCCTCCGACGCTGCGAACCATGCTGAGCTTCTGCAGGCCGGATAGGATATTCGTCATGTTCCGCGTGGAGCCTTGACTTTTGTTCTCCTCGGCCTTCCCCAAGGCAAGCCGCAGTAATGCGGCCTTCATGTCATTCTGATCGCGGGTAGAGCTCAACCCTACGGGTTGTTTTCGGTCGTCTTTCAAGCTGACGGTCCCGTCACTCTCCTCCTTTTCGACAAGTCCTTTGAGATCATTAAGTGTAAAAACCTGGGTATTCGAAATCACAGTGCCCTCCAACTCCTCCTTGCCTTTCAACATATTCCAGAACCACTCGGTACAATCCCCCGGGATCTCGAACGACGTGGTGGTGAAAGAGGGCCGTCCATTACTCACCTGTCCGCTCGAGGAGCCCCCGGGACGAGTCCCACCCCCTTCCATCGAGGCCCCTACGGAGGGGTCTTTGGGGTCCTGCCGTTTGGCCCCCCCGCCGCCTTCCCTCACGGCGTCCGCGCCGGAGTTGGAAGAGGCCGCGACGCCGTTGG